TCAAGGTGGCTCACTCACGTGGCTGGCAAATTGATACTGGGTGTTGGCAGGAGGATTCATTTCCTTGCCATGTAGACATCCCCAGAGAGCTGCTTGAGTGTCCTCAAGGCATAGTAGCTGGCTTCTCCCAGAGTGAGGGATCCAAGAGCATGTAAGACAGAAGCTATGTTTATTATAATCTAGCTTCCAAAGTCTGACTGCATGAGTTCTGTAAATCCTACTGAATTCTACAGAATTACATGAGTCAGCCCATCTTGGGACTTACGGTTGCATGGGTCAACCCATCATGGGAGTGGTCTACATGGGGTGTGAATACGGGAGGCAAGGATCACTGGGGTTATCTTGGGGGCTGGATGCCACATTCCACAAGTCAAAAATGGGCTGTTGGAGGAGCCCCACAGTGGACAGAAGTAGTTTGGCTTGGTTGTCTTGCTCTGCTTAGCCACTAGGAGGCAAACATGGCCTCCATGTAAGTCTCACAGAAGATTCCTGGAGGGTCTGAAGGGGCAGACACTGAGGGATCACCACCAACTATTGTGAGCAGAACCTCTTCACAATAAGTTCTACTGAAGGACAATCTGAGCTGCTCAGCTTCTGGGTTTCTACGTGTCCCCATTCATTTATATAAATAAACCCTGAGACTATCCAGTTCGCAAGCCCCCAACTTTCCAAGCTTCCCTGAGCCCTAGGATAAGCAGGTCTTCCGGTTGAGCTGAGAACATTGTCATATTAAAACAAGGAAACTGAAGCACAGAGAGAGATGATACACCCAAGGTCTCCCCAAAGATGACAGGAGCAGGAATAACATGAAGGCTTTAAAATTCCAAGCCTGATACTCTTTGCTTTGTGCCATGAAGTCCCCATAAATCCAGCCATCTGTGCAAAGGACTGGCTTGCTGGGACACTCCAGACTGCTAAACACGCCATTATCTATGATGTACATTCCTATTTTTACTGTCGTGGCTGCTACGGCAACAAATTTGATTTCCTAATTGTGTTTTTCTTTGGCTAATGTAAAAATTAATTTCCGCTCCCTGAACAGTCATCAACTACTGGTAAAAAGAGATCACTCAGGAGACTGAGCGGTAAACCCACTGGATTCCGGTGCTATCTGCACGTGAGGGCAGGAAGCTGCCATCTGTCACCTGCACATTCTGTGCTATACTCTATGCAAGATATCTGCTTTCTCCCAAGCCTGTGAGGCCAATTTCAATGTTTATTTTATTTTAGAGATGGAGTCTGTCACTCAGGCTGGAGTGCAGTGATGCCATCTCAGCTCACTGCAATCTCTGCCTCCCGGATTCAATTGATTCTCCTGCTTCAGACTCTTGAGTAGCTGGGATTACAGGTGTGTGCCACCACGCTGGGCTAATTTTTGTATTTTTAGTAGAGACAGGGTTTCACCATGTTGGCCAGGCTGGTCTCGAACTCCTGACCTCAGGTCATCTGCCCGCCTCGGCCTCCCAATCAATGTTCCCTTTTCAAAGTTAAGAAAATGGAGATGACAGAGATGAAGCAACTTGCCTGGAATGCTATGTGATGTGGGTGGCAGGACAGAATGTAAGTACATCTGCCTGACCCTAACTAAGTTTGATCATTTTTTTCCTATATGAGACTGTTTCCAATTCTACATAGCAGGCCTTCTGTATCTTGGGAGGATTTGCTCCAAGAACCCCTGCAGATACTAAAATCTGCAGATCTACAAGTCTCTTTTATAAAATGGCTTAGTTGGCCACTGTGGTGGCTCACAACTATAATCCCAGCACTTTGGGAGGCTGATAAGGGCAGATCACCTGAGGTCACAAGTTCAAGACCAGCCTGGGCCTGTCTCTACCAAAAATACAAAAATTAGTCTGGCATGGTGGTGGGTGCCTATAATCCCTGCTACTTGGCAGGCTGAAGCAGAAGAATCGCTTGAACCCAGGAGGTAGAGTTTGCAGTGAGCTGAGATCACACCACTGCACTCCAGCCTGGGGGACAGAGTAAGTCTCTTGTCTCAAAATAAATAAATAAAAATAATAAATAATGGCTTAGTACACCCAGCCTCGCTATACACAGGGTTTGGTCCCCAGTTGGTTCAATCCTTCGATGCAAGAGGCATGGATACAGAGGGCTGACTATATCTCTTACTTTCCTAGTTTTGTTGGAGTTACTGATATTCAGTCTACTTCTCAGCCTTGGTTTTGCTGCCTGACAGCTGTGGGTCACAAGGAAGTTTGTGAGTCTCAGGGTAACTGATTCGCACTAATTAAATTCACAAGAGAGACTGATATATACACCTGAATGACCATCTATTCTCTTGCAAGGGAGTAATCAAAATTTTCATATTTATTTTCCAGATAAGCCTCTTCCCATAAGTCCGACAAGTTGAATTACTCAGCAGAAGGTTGCTTAGCAAGTATAAAATCAGAACCAAAGTATCTGGGAGGCAGTTTGAAAAATCTTATGGCTTACAGATGACCCTTTCTTGAAGTCCTCTCTTATGTGATGGGAAAATTTAAATGTCTCTTAAAAAAAAAAAACATACACACACACACACACACACACAGAGAGAAGTATTGTCAAAGTCTCATTGCTTTGTTTCCCCAGACTTTTTCTGATACTTTCATTATAGAGAAATGATTTTTCTTCAAATATTGTATTACAATTTATTAGGCAACAACTTTATTTGCCGTGCAACAATACTCATTTCAGGATGTGTTTTTACTATTTTGCCTCGGAAACTATCTGTCTTCTAATATGGCTTTGTAAATTCATTATACATCACATGCAGTTTTTCTTATAATGGTACAAGATGCATCGATCTAATTCCTGCAAGGCCTCACCCTTTTCCAGAGTCATGAACGCTGCCTGAACCCTCACACCTCTCAGATGATGGCTGAGAAGGCAATGCAAACATCTCCTCTCCCTTGGACCAATCTGTTTTAAATCACAGCTGACTGGACTAGGCATGGGTCCCTAACTTATCCAAGCCTTGCATGGTGGGTATGCAAAGAAGAGGTGGACCAATTCTTTCTCTAAAAAATTAGAGAACTTTGGGAGGCCGAAGTGGGTGGATCACCTGAGGTCAGGAGTTCAAGACCAGCCTGACCAACATGGCGAAACTACGTCTCTACTAAAAATACAAAAATTAGCCGGGCTTGTGTTGTGTGCCTGTAATCCCAGCTACTTGGGAGGCTGAGGCAGGAGAATTGCTTAAACCCAGGAGGTAGAGGTTGCAATGAGCCAAGACTGTACCACTGCACTCCAGCGTGGGCAACAGAATGAGACTCCATCTCAAAAAAAAAAGAATCAGACGTGAGAAACGGGAGGAAGAATAATTGGCAGAGAAAGCTGAATGACATGAGCTCAGGAGGTAAAAGGATGTGCCCTATGTGAGTCTCCTAGAATTGTCACAACAACACACCACAAATGGAGGACCTTAAACTACAGGGACCATTTGTGTCGCTGGTCTGGAGCTGCAAATCTGAAATCAAGGTATCAGCAGGGTTGTTTCCTTTCAAGGGCTGAATCTGTTCCATGCCTCTCTCCTAGCTTCTGGAAGCCTCAGATGTCCCCTGGCTTATAGATGCCATTCACCCTCTGTCTTCACAGCATTCCTCCGGCATGTCTGTCTGTTTCTGTGTCCAAATGTCCCCCTTTTCTAAGGACACCCGACATAGTTGTCCATGTACCCTAATGATCTCATTTTAACTTGAGTAAATCTGTCATGACTCTATTTCCCAAGAAGGTCACGTTCTGGATTGGGCATGGTGACCCACCCCTGTCATTCCAGCACACTTTGGAAGGCTGAGGCAAGAGGATCACTTGAGTCCAGGAGTTTGAAACTAGCCTGGGCAACCTAGCAAGATCCCATCTCAACAACAACAAAAAAATTAGCCGGGCATGACAGCATGTGCCTGCAGTCCCGGCTACTCAGGAGACTGAGGTGGGAGGGTCCCGTGAATGGAGGAATTTGAGGCTGCAGTGAGCTACGATCACACCACTGCACACCAACCCGGCAACACTGCAAGGCCCTGACTTTAAAAACAAACGAAATAAAAGAAAAACAAATAAGGTCATGTTCTGAGATACTGGGGGTTAGAATTCAGCATGTATTTTTGGGAGAAGGCAATACAAACATCTCCTCTCCCCTGGACCAAATTCATAATGTAAGTTCAGGAGGGGGCCAAGGAAAGTCATCACGGGGCCACGGGCTTCAGTAAGGAGCCCCATCCTGGTCTCAGCATTGGACCTACCTTTTGGATTATGGCCACAGAAACAGCTGTGACAGAGACCACAGCAGGGCCATCAATGAGGGGATAACTAGGTACAACAGAAAGAGGAGGTGCCCCATAGTGAGTCGCCATGACACTCTTATAATAACCTCCTTTCTTTCTTTTTAAATTTTGCTTTAAGTTCTGGGATACATGTGCAGAACGTGCAGGTTTGTTACATATGTATACATGTCCCCTGGTGGTTTGCTCCACCCATCAACCCATCAACTGAGTTTTAAACCCTGCATGCATTAGATATTTGTCCTAATGCTCTCCCTCCTCCTCCCCCCTACCCCCTGAGAGGCCGTGGTGTGTGATGTTCCCCTCCCTGTGTCCCTGTGTTCTCATTGTTTGACTCTCATTTATGAGTGAGAACATGTAGAGTTTAGTTTTCAGTTCCTGTGTTAGTTTGCTGAGAATGATGGCTTCCAGCTTTATCCATGTCCCTGCTAAGGACGTGATCTCACTCCTTTTTATGGCTGCATAGTATTCCATGGTCTATATGTGCCACATTTTCTTGCCCAATCTATCACTGATGGGCATTTGGATTGGTTCCAAGTCTTTGCTATTGTAAACAGTGCTACAATAAACATAATGTGCATGTGTCTTTATAGTAGAATGGGTATATACCCAGTAATGGGATTGCTGGGTCAAATGGTATTTCCGATTCTAGATCCTTGAGGAATCGCCACACTGCCTATGTACTCTGTAGAATTAAGGAATCTTAGTATGACAACGACCTACCTCCCAGACCTGAGATTACTGCAGCAACACGACAAGTGATCAAATACACTGTCCAAGCAGGAAGTCTAGAAAAAGAAATTCCAAGCAGGCAGTTAGATTTCTCTTCCAATCTACCCACTGCCATGAGTTAATCACATACCCTGAGCTCCAATCCCTTCACTTGTCAAGCCGAGGGCTCTTCCCAGCTATAAAATTCTGTGATTTTATCATAATTGGTCAATTAAACACAAATAGTCCCTCCAACAGACAGCCTTGAAGATGCACTTTAGGAAAATCACTGAGTGGGTAAATCGTGTGCTCTTAAGTGAGAGTTTATTATCTAACTCTCTGGGAAGCAGACCAGAATTTTCCTCCCAAATGTGAGATTTACTTTGCGCTTAAGTTATTTTTAAAAGGTAGACAAAACCCATGATATCATCCCTCTATTAATTTGTAGATGTGAAAAGAGATTCCTACCAGTTCTGAGCCTTAGATAAATACACAAGAATAAGAATAACCTTCGCAGGAAGGTATTGAATATTAGACAGTTACCGAAGGCAAACGTTATTTGTTCCACAGAAGCTTCTTGACTGGGTCTTTTGATTCTGTGTGTAAGCTACTAGAGCAGGCAATTACTGTTCTTTTTCTATTCTGGGTCTTTAAATACCTTAGAATTCTTTCTATTGTGGTCCAACTGCTAGGAGGAATACTCCGGCCCCACTGTGGGAAAAGCTCTATGTAAGAGCTCTTAAATGAAAACCCCAGGCATGTGCCAGGTTGGCACAAAGGAGGAAAAGGAAGCTGTTCATTCATTCAGTCTGCCCACTATTACCATCTCCCCATTGAGCCATGCGCCAGGGATCCATAGACTTCCTGGATCATGTGAGGTCAGGAGTTTGAGATCAGCTTGGCCAAAATGGTGAAAGCCCTTGTCTACTTAAAATACAAAAAATTAGCTGGGTGTGGTAGTGGGTGCCTATAATCTCAGCTACTTGGGAGGCTGAGGCAGGAGAATAGCTTGAACCTGGGAGGTGGAGGTTGCAGTGAGCTGAGATTGTACCACTGCACTACAGCCTGGGCGACAGAGCGAGACTCCATCTCAAATAAAAAAAAAGATTCTATGCAGTATGAATCCACATCATATGTATTATACGATATGTAAAATATATGCATATGTATATAGAACATATACTTTTCTATCATTTACATATATGTAAATAAATATGTATCTATAGAAGCACATAAAAGGATAAACATTATATTCTACCATATAAATGATAAACATTTATTCACACAAAAGCATAAACATAATAGCAAGGAGTTATCGAACTCTCAATACATCCCTTAATATACTCAGGATACTCTCCTACTCTTTTTACATACTGTATGCCATTTAAGTCTTAAACTTATTTTAAATAAAGTTATATATGCAAAGGTGTGGCTCTAACATGTGTACAATGTAAACAATAAAAATAAATAGGGCCAGGCACAGTGAGTGGCTCACATCTGTAATTCTAGCACTCTGGGAGGCCGAAGCAGGAGGATAACTTGAGGTCAGGAGTTCAAGACTAGCCTGGGCAACATAGGGAGATACCATCTTTACCAAAAATAAAATAAAATACAAAGTGAGCAGGCCAGGCGCCATGGCTCAGGCCTGTAATCCCAGCACTTTGGGAGGCAGAGGTGCGTGGATCACTTGAGGTCAGGAATTCGAGACCAACCCAGCCAACGTGGTGAAAACCCATCTCTACTGAAAATACAAAAATTAGCCAGGCATGGTGGCACATGCCTGTAATCCCAGCTACTTAGGAGGCTAAGGCAGGAGAATGGCTGGAACCTGGGAGGCAGAGGTTGCAGTGAGCCAAGATGGCACAATTGCACTATGGCCTGGGTGACGAGAGTAAAATTCTGTCTCAAAAAAAAAAAGAAAAAAAAAGATAAAAATTAGCCAGGTGCAGTGACACATGCCTGTGGTCCCAGCTGCCATGGAGGCTGAGGTCAGAGGACTGCTTGAGTCTGGGAGGTCACGGCTGCAGTCAGCTGTGACTGTGCACCGCTATGCTCCAGCCTGGGCAACAGAGCAAGGCACTGTCTTAAAAAAAAAAAAAAACAAACAAGAAAAAATAAAAGAAACTTCTATGTACGCATTTCTCAGCTTAGGCTGGAACACAAATAAGACCTTGATGCTTTCCCTGACTGCAGGTCACCCTACTCGCCTGGCAGTCACAGCTAGACTGAAATATGCATTACCTCTCTTGTGTCTCTTTATTCCTTTTCTATCAGTTATTAGTTATTAAAACCCATAATATAAGGGCTATCCTCTTACACTGGTAAGTGTACATTACTGTGTTTTTAACTATAAGCACGTTGTTGTAACACAGACCTCTGGAGCTTTTCAATCTTGCATAACTGAAACTTTTTACTCACTGAAAAGCAACTCCATTTTCCCCCACCTTGCCCCAGCCCCTGGGAACCAGCATTCTACTTTCTACTTCTATGGGTTTGGCAACTTTAGATACCTCAGATCAGTGGAATTAGGCTCTATTTGTTTTTCTCTGGTTGGCTCATTCATTCACTTTGCATAATGTCCTCAAGGTTCACGCACGTTATTGCAAATGACAGGACTGCCCTCTTTTTATAGGGCTGATTGATATTCCGTTTATGTGTATGCCACATTTTCTCTATCCATTTATCAGTTGTTGGACATTTAGTTTACGTCCATGTCTTGGCTATTGCAAATAATGCTTCAAAGGACATGGGAATAAAAATATCTCTTCAGCACACTGATTTCAATTTTTTGGAACAAATACTCAGAATCTGGCTTGCTGGATCTTATAGCATTTTATTTTCTTTTTTCTTTTTGTTTTGTTTTGAGACAGGATGTCATTCTGTTGACTGGGTGCAGCTGTGTGATCATGGCTCACCGTGGCCTTGAATGCCTCAGCTCAAACAATCCTTTTGCCTTAGCCTTCCCAGTAGTTGAGACTATCGGAGTTTGCCACCATGCCTGGCTATTTTTTTTTTTTTTTTTTTTTTTAAGATATTGAGTCTCCTTCTATTGCCCAGACTGATCTGGAACTCCTGGCCTCAACTGTCTCCCTCTCTTGGCCTCCCAAAATACTGAGATCACAGGCATGAGGCATTGCACCCACCCTAGAATTTTTGGATTCATGAAATAAATCTAATTTAATTGAGAGTTGTGGTCATTTTTAACGCATTACTACATTACTGTATCAATTTGCTATTATTTGGATTATGGTTTTTGCATCTATGCAAGTTCCTCATTTGAGTCTCGCTAGAGTCATAAAATAAACTGTAGAGTGCTGCTCTTTTTCCTGTTTTAGGACTATTTTGTCCTAAAATAGTTTGGATAATATTAGAATTATTTCTTTCTTGAATATTTTAAAGCTTCCTGAATAAAACTTTCTGATCTTAGTGCTATCTTTGTGAAAGATCTTAAAGTATAATTTTCATTTTTTAGAAATAGTTATTGGTTCATTTTGATTTTCTATTTCTTCTTAAAGTATGTTTCAAGTTTTTCTTTTTTTCCTTTTTTTTTTGTATTTGCTCATTTCACTCCAATTTTAATCCATTACTTTTTTCAAAAAAAAGTTATCACTTTTTATTTGTCCTCTTTTTCTGGGACTCTAAGAACAAAGATATCAGAACTTCTGTTATTACTCCATGGTTCCCTGAGGCTGTCATAATTTTATTTCATTATTATTTTTGTTTACTCTCTTTTGTTCAGATAATTTCTCATTATCTTTTTTCATGGTCATCAATTTTTCTTTCTCTTCTTTATTTTGCTCCTGAACCCATTCCATAATTTTTAGAGAATTTTAGAGAATTTTGGAAAAAATTTTCACTCCATTCTTTTAAAATAATCTTCTATTTCTCTGTTGAAACTTTCTGCATTCCATTCTATTTCAACAGTGTTCAATCTTACTTCCTGAAGTATAGTGATAATAATTGCTCTATAGTCTTTGATAACCCAAACTTCTGTGTCAACTTCCTATTGGTGTCTGTTATCTTTTTTTCTTTGTGAGATGTTCAGGTTTTTCCAATTATAATAAATTAGAGGCCAGCAGCAGTGGCTGACACCTGTAATCCCAGGCCTTTGGGAGGCTGAGGTGTGAGGATTACTTGAGATCAGGAGTTCAAGACCAGCCTGGCCAACACAGTGAAACCCCGTCTCTACTAAAAATACAAAAAACTAGTCAGGCGGGCTGGCAGGTGCCTGTAATCCCAGATGCTTGGGAAACTGAGGCAGGAGAATTGCTTGAACCTGGGAGGCAGAGGGTGCAGTGAGCCGAGACTGGGTTACTGCACTCCAGCCTGGGTAACAAGAGCAAAACTCCATCTCAAAAAAAAAAAATTAGAAATTTAAAAAATTTTGTAATTTTCTAATTCTTAATGTGTTAAGTAATTTTTGATTGTATTCTGGACATTTTGTACACTGTGCTCTGTGAATCTGAGTCTTGATTAAATGCTATAGCGATTTTTAAAAATTTAAGTGGGTAGTAACGTGGCTAGATTCAAGTCACAAATTCCTACCCACCGTCTGCGTGCATTGGTTTGTTCTAGTGCCAATTCTGTTTTCAAGGCCCTTATAAGAACTATTCAGATATGTCCCACTGGTGCACCACCTAAGGGCCAGTATGGGATCTGGATAGTGTTCTAACCCATCCTTCCGTTCTCAGAGACTGTGGTACATGGTTTAGTATCAGATCCATATGTATATTAACTTTCCCCCTCCAATTTTAATACTCTCGAATTCTAGTGATTCATTAAGATCTTTTTGAAATCTTCCTAATTATCTGTACATTCTCTTGTTTATTATTTTCAATCCACTTTTATTATTTAAATACATTCATTTTTATAGTGTTGCTTGTAATCCCAGTATCTATAGTCTTTGTAGGTCTTACTCTATGCTTCGTTGTTTCTGTTGGCTCTTGCTCATAGTGACTTGCTTTCTCCAGAGATGTGTTTGTTTATTACAGGCTCCAAGGAACTATACCTGTGTAACTTTGCTTTAACCTAACATTTTGAGTTAAAGTTTTCCAGCACACATGTGTGGTATAGATTC